CTCTTCCTCTCTGCTCCGTCCCTCTTCCTCTCTGCTCCGTTTCTCTTTCTCTCTGCTCCTTTCCTCTTTTTCTCTGCTCCCTTCCTCTTCCTCTTTGCCCACTTCCTCTTCCTCGAAGGTCTGAAATGCCAGAGCAGGGCAGGAGTGTAGCTGTGCCTTTCAAGGCAGTAGTCTCCTCCAAAAGGGGCACTTCTGCTGTTCAGCCATAGGGCATCAGCATGGCGGGGAGAAGCTGGCTGCAGGGACTGCCCCCTGCCCCCTTCCTCTCCCCAGCAAGGGAGGTCCTGGCCCCCAGACCCACCCCATTCTTGTGGCCCTTTGCCTTCCCAGGTGAGTCCAGAGGATCCAGTTTGTCCGAGGAGGTGAGTTGACTCACCTGTGTGTTGGCAGGCTTGCTCCCATTATGCCAAGAGAACTAGGCAGGCACAGAGAGATGCCAGGTTGGCCTTCAGGGTGAGGATGCAATTCAGCCATACTCACTTTGCCGGTGAGCGTCTCGCAAAGGGCGCTCCAGCACACCACATCCGAGGCACTGGCAGACAGGCTGACCCTCTCTTTCACGAGCCCCTGTGCCCACAGAGGGGAAGAGAAGGCTCAGTCCATTGGAGAGGGGGCAGCTGAGGCAAACGTTTGCTTTCAGGAGCAGCAGAGACTTAAACAGGGGCTGAGAGGAGAACAAGCAGGACCGACACTGGAGCCTCCCAGGGCCTGTCTCTCTGCAAAGCCCATCTGCCCAGGGAGCGAGATGGGGGAAAGGGCAAGCACTAAGGAGGGGAGAATGGTGCTCAAAACTGGACAGAAAGCCCTATACGTTAAAGAGGTTATGTATTTTTCCTAATTAAAGTTTCGGGAGCCCCTTATGGAAGGGCCACTCTGTAATTCTTGAGGCGTACAGTAATTGCCTAAATGGTTTTGAGGCCCAGGTGGGGGTGGCGGAGTGGGGTGCTGTCCTTGAAGTTCCACCCATATTGTCTCACTCCCATTTCTGCACTCCCTGAGCCTCTATCTGCCCACCTGAAGGCCTTGCCCCGCCCCCTCTGCCAGCAGGTTCAACAGGGGAGGCTGCAAGGGGCAAAGGGAGAGGCAGGGTACTGGATGAATGGGGCTGGGGGGTGCCAAGGGAGTGGCAAGGGCCCAAGGGTTGAGGATCCTCTCACCAGTTGCTCCTTCATTTCTTCCATCATCCTGGCTTGTTTGTCCAGGCACTTCAGCCGCTTTTTCATTTCTTCTGCGTTGATCTGGTAATAGCAAAATCAGGATCAGAGCTGCAGCTGGGCGAGGAGGCTTTCTTCCACGGAGAGTCCACGGAGGAGAAGAAGAAGCACCTTTCTGGACCCAAGCCAGGAGTCCTTCTCCCTCAGGACCACTCACCTGGGCAACGTCTTCTTTCAGCTGCCCCAGTTCTTCCTGAAAGCCCTCCGTGGCGATTTTCAGAGAGCAAATGCTATTCAGCAGGTCCTGCAATGTGTTCATGGCCTGCATGGGGAAACAGGAGGCGTCACGGAGACTCGGCACCATTTGGAGGCCGTCCATACAGTTGTTGCGGTCTAGGGAAAGGGCGGGGTGGGAGATAGCCACGCCTTCACTCTCAGAACCTCCGTGGCTCCACAGCCCCACCAGTAGATAAGGAGCCTGGGATCCTTTCATGATACCTGAACGGCCCACAGCCCCTTGACCAGGAGGAAGGTGGGGAATGAGGAATTTAGCAGAAAGATGGCAGAAATGATGCGTGAGGCGCTGGGGAGACAGCGCGTGAGTCGCAGAAAAGGGAGGAAGGCACGGGGCATGTTCCCCACGGCTGGTTTGGGGCTCTGCCACCTGCTTGCAAAGGGCAAGGCCACGTGGGGCTACCTTGGTCATGCCCTCCTCATTCAGCTCCAGCTTCTTCTTCAGCTGCATCATCTGCCACATGTCCAGGGCGGGCTGGCCCATGCCCTGGCTGCGGGCCAGCAGCTCGGCGGTGTCAGGGGGCTCGTTCAGGAACCGGAGCTGCCTCTCGATGGCAGTGATCCTCTCCTGCATCTGGTGGAAGATGGAGCTGGACTTCTGCACCGCGGGGAGGGTCTCGGTGGCTGAGGTGGCAGCGGAGGCCGCGGAGCTGGGGGGCGGCTTGATGAATGCCAGCTCCTCCGCCGACACCTCCTTCCTCGCCTCCTGCAGGCGCAGATGCTCCACCAGGCTGTGCAGGAACAGGTGCAGCGCATTGAAGTTGACATTGCCCAGCTCCGGCGTCCCGATGGCCAGGTTGATCAGCTCCACGAAGGAGAGGCTGTGGCTCATGGTCCCGCTGCCCTGGGGAGACTCGCGGCTGGCAGGCGGCCCCGGGCCGGGATCCGGCATCAGCGGCGGGCGGCGGCGGCGTTCTGCTCGCGGGAAAGTTTCTCCCGGTTGCTAGGAGACCCGGAACGCGGCGGGGGGGCGGGGCGGAGGCGGGCGAGCCGGGAGCCGCCGCCAGGGGCCCCGGAGCCAGGCTGGCCCTGGCGCCACCCCCACGCCCTCTCCCCGAGGCCCGGCTGCGGCGGCGGGGATGGGCTCGGCCTTCCAGCCCGGACCCACAGCGCCTCTGCCGTGCCACCCGCCTTCCCTCGCACCGGGGGCGCCGGCATCGCGGGGCGCCCGACTAGCCGCGCCAGCCCCGACGGGTTCAAACAACCATGCTGACACGCGTCTCGGCCCCGAGGGGGGGGAGCCATCCCGGCACGCAGGTGGCGTTTCCTGAACGTGGATTGATCCCTTCCGCCCCGAGGCCCCGCCCCGCCCTGCCGGGCTCCGAAGCGGCTCGCTGGTTCCGCTCCGCGGGTGAGGTGGGGGGGCGGGGCGGCAGAGCATTCTGGGCTCCTCGCGCGCGGCATGCTGGGGCTTGTGGTCTCCCGGACTACCCTTCCCGGCGCCCCCCGCGGGGAGCTCCGCCAGCCCCGCCGGTCGAGGCTACAGCTCTCCCTGTCCGCGCCGCGTCTTCTGCTCCGGAGCCGCCGGCCTCGCAGGTGCCGCTGCTGACCCGGGAGCCTCGGCGCTGCTGCAGGTGCCGCCCGCCGAAGGGAGCCGCTGGGCCCGCGAGGGCTGCGGGGCTGGGAAGCCCCTGGGCGGGCGAGGGGGGGCAGGAGCGGCCCCCCGCAATCTGCAGCCGGGCGGTTGCGGCCCCCTCGGGTCGCTCTTCCCAAGGAAGCTGCCGGGCCTCCGCTGGGGCGGTGCTGGGCGAGGGAGGCTTGCCCGCTTTCCCCCTGGGCTCCCGGGCGTTCGCTGGGCCGGGGGGGCGGGGAGGGGTCAGCTCTGCCAGGGGACGGGAGCCGCGCCAGCCGCCGCCTGCCCGTCCAACCGGTCCAGGCCGCCCGCCAGCGGCCCGCTCTTCGTCCCGCGGGATTCCCGAGCGATCGGGGCGCGGGGCCAGGCCTGCGAGAGGGAGGCCGGTCCTTTCCGGGGACTCCCTTGGGCGATGAACCCCCGGCTGTTGCCTCCCACGGGGCCGCTGGGTCGATTGCACGGAAGGCGCATCTGGGCTGCCAGCCTCAATGCAGTTAGTGGAGTTGGTAGGGTGACTTTGAGCTGCTGGTTTGGGTGGGTTTGTTGCTGTTGTTTTGGCCGGAGAGGAATGTTTGTTATTGCTGTAACTGCCTTTTCGTTTGCCTGATTTACTTGTCTGCGGTGAGCTTGCTGGAATCTTGGGAGCCGCCTGGTGCTTAGAGCAGGGCAGGAGCTGCCCCTTGGCGGGCCCAGGGTCTGGGCCCGGGCAGGGCTGGAAGCTGAAGTCTAAAGTCATCTGCACAGGGAGAAACTTCCCCAAGGCACCTCGCTGCCTTTCCCTTTCCCTTTTCGTGCGCCAGCCCTGCGTGTCCCCTTCCGGTCCAGATGGGGTCTTGTCTGGGCACAAAGCCTGCCACCTCTGAAGAGCTGCCCTAAGGAGAGACCACAGGTGTGCCCCACCCGCAGTCAGACAAGATCTTCTTGTGTCCCCCAAACGGTCAGACTCAAAACGTTTCCTTGTGGTTCTGGCTGATGCCCTCCCCCCCATGTCAAGGAGGTGGCTGGCGTCCGACTCGCCCCCCCTGCAGGGACTGTGTGCCCAGAGGATCTCTGGCTGCAGCGGGATGAATTCACAGAATAGCCAGGAGTCCGTCTCCCCCAGCAGCCTCTCCATGATGCTCAGCTGCTAGCAGAGATGCCCTGGAAGGAGAGGAGGCCTCTGGGAATGATGGGGCATTCCTCCACAAGGTCCTTTTCTTCTGGACAGCTGAGCCAAGCACCCCGTCTGACTGCTGTGGTCGCTCTCTCTCTCTCTCTCTCTCTCTCTCCCCCCTTCAGGCTAGGCCAGCAGACGGGCAGGAGGAAAGCCTTGATTGGTCCTCTACTCTGGAGGCACCAGCAGGGCATTGTGGTGGGGGTTGTGCCAAGAATCCCATGAGAAAAGCCCCCCACCCACCCCCGCCCTTTCCCCTTGGCTCTCAGCTCTTTTTCTCTTACCTTTCCTAGCCGGCCCTCCGACCATCTCAGCAACTCTGCATCTTTCTTTCAGCATGTCCAGTGACCCTCCTCCACCCTACCCTGGGGGGCCATCAGCACCCCTCCTGGAAGAGAAGGATGGGTTTCCCTTCCCCGCAGGTAAGGTTCTATTGGTGACCCATTACCCACCTGGTCATCGTTCTCTCCGTGTGACACCTCGTTCTTCTAAATCTTCTCAGGTAGGAGCCCTCCAGCCATGGTGCAGCCCCCTTCCGATGTTGGCCCCCCGCCCTATGAAGCAGTGCCTCCCCCTCAGCCGGGCTTCATCCCCCCCCCTGTTGCAGCAGAGAGCTCGATGCCCTACTTCCCCCCTGGTGAGTGGCATGGGAGGCCGGGGGGTGGGGGGAGTATGTGCCAGCCTAAAAGCTGCTCAGTGATGGCTGGAGTGGCACATAAGCCAAGCGTGGCAGAAGAGAATCTGCTGTTGTCGTAACAGGATCTTATCTTGCCAAGCAACATCAAAGCAGTGTATAAATCTCCAATCCAAGCAATATGAGGCAGAGCAAGAAATAGTTAAACTAGACTTTTGAAGCTCCAGAGAATGGAAATAAGGTGAGGGGCTGCTCTGAGTGGAATAGCAGGTGATTCTCTACTTGGGGTCTCGGTTCTGTCCTGCCCTCAAGTGGCCTTTGGCCACAAGGCCATGAAACCCCTTGCGGCAGCTGGCCAAGCTGTGGTCCACTGAGCAGTTGCTCTGCTTTGGAAGCCCCGAGTGCAGCCAGGAAGGAGGACTTGGGACAGGCTGATCTCTAGTCTCTGTGCCCTGGCATGTTAGGTTGGCAGTGGCCGGGCAAGGAGTCTCCCTTGGAGCTGTCTGGGCCTTAAGTCCCTTCTTCCTCTGTAGGTGGCTACTGTGCGCCTCTGGGGCCACACGCCTCCACGGGCTACCACCCTCCCACTGGCCCCTATGCCCCTGCTGGAGGGCAAACGGCGACCGTGCTAGTGCCATTGGGCACCGCAACCACTGTGACGGTCCTGCAGAGCGAGATATTCCAGGCTGCCCCTGTCCCAACAGTGTGCCCGCACTGCCAGCAGGCCATCACCACCAAAATCACTCATGAAATCGGCCTCATGAACTTTCTCCTTGGCTTCTTCTGCTGCTTTATTGGGTAAGCGGGGGTGGGGGGTGGGGGCTGTGAAATCTGAGTTTGGAGCAGGCGGGGGTGGGTGGGGGGAGCGTGCCAGTCCCTGCAAGGCATTCCCTTGGGGCAGGCCATCTTGCGTGCTCCCAGGGGAGGGAGGGGGTATCCAGGGCTGGCAAGAGGGCTGTGGATGCAAAGGTGCCCCTCCTGCCCATCACGATTTCTCCTCTCCCTTCCAGGTGCAACATGGGCTGCTGCTTCATCCCCTGCCTGATCGATGAATTTAAGGATGTGACCCACACCTGCCCCAACTGCAAGGCCTACATCTACACCTACAAGCGCAGGTGCTAGCAGGGCCTGCTCTGCTGGAGGGCTCTGCCATTGCCTCCTGATTTGCCTTTCCTGTCTTCTGCTTTCGTGCTTTTCTGCTCTCCTCCTTCCTTTGCCCCGGGTGGGTGGGTGGGGGGGTTGTGATGCCCCCGAGGGGGGGGGATGTGAAGGGGCAGCGGAGGCAGACGATGGCTCACCTTCCCTAGGCAAGGAGCTGCCTCTGCTTGGCTGGGGCCACCTTCGATGGGAGGGCGAGGGCTTCACCCACAGTGGCGCCTTGGCCCTAATCAGCAGGGAGGGGAGAAGGAGCAAAGTCCGTGGGGGCTCTTGGCTTCTTTATTTATTTTTTATTTTCTTCATTAAAGAGCTTAAATATAGTAGTAAAAGCAAATACAAATTAAAGTCAGAAAAAGATAGCATAGACATGCAAAGTAAGGAAAAGGTAAATAGGAAAAAGGAAAGAAAGTAAAATATGTAAAGAAGTGGCTTCCTATTTTTATCCCAAGTTAAAGCAAATTTCATATTGCCCCCTACAAAGTTACAAATATTTTTTCTTCCCATCTCTTCTATACATAAAATCATAAATCATCAGCTTTTCTTTCAGTCCTGGTGTTAGCAAAAGGTCCATAAAGCCTTACCAGAGTTTTATAAAAACCTGCCTTGATCAAGCAAAGCAACCGTATATTCCTTTCTTTTATTTCTAACCATCTTGATCTTCAATTCGTTTGAATGCAGCTTTTTCCATGGCTGCTTTGAGGCTGTAACAGGCCCCTTTTGTAAATCCAATGGAAAGTGCATCATCCAAGTCATTGTTTTGCTTTGCTTTTTGTATTTATCCTTTGACTGTCTAAGCCTTAACCAACATCTTTTATTTATCAGGTCTTTGGCTTGGCTCTCATCATCCACCCTTGTTCCTGGCATTTTTATTTCCAGTTTGAGTATCTTGAATATTTTGTAATCCACACCTTTTTCTACCCAATATTTCTGATTCCACTATTTCTGCTTCAAGTAAAATATGTTGCACGCCTGTCATTCCTTCATGTTTTAGACAGTCTATCCAGAGAAACAGATGTTGCTACTGATACTGTTAATACTGATTTCTGGCCCTATTCTTCAAAGATCTTTAATTTAAATGTGAATGGTATATTGTATAATTTTGTAAATCCTAAAAGCAAGCTGGGATTTGGGGGACGACGACTGGATTTTAGTCCCCTCTTGTCCAATTTAAATCACAGGATCTCTTCTCTGTGTTATGACTTGAGGTAGCCAAAATAATTCTGGTTCTTACAAAAAGCTATTTATTTTATATAGTTAATTTCAAATTTTCATGGTACTTTCAATATTCCAAATGTGATTGGAGACTTCGTTTATAACTTTATTTTAAAATCTTGTTTGGCTTTTTGCCTTTCATTTCAATTTTTTTTAAAGTTCTGAGGATTTTTTTGTTCAGGATGAACATTCATTCACTGGGTGATAGTTCAGATTTGTCCCTTTGAAGACTGTTAGAATTAAGAGGTTTAAATGAGCAATTTCCAAATGTGATTAGAAGGGATGTTAGTAAACTTAATGTCCTTTAAAAGGTATCAGCCAATCCCTTTGTCTCCTGGAACTGATGCCTATAATAGACCACTCCCATGCAGTCCCCTCACAAGGAGCCGCTATCCGGAGCATATGTAGGTGATCCCTCACCCTCCTTAACTGGAGTAGTTCTGAAATCCAGTCTTCTCTCCCCTTCTATGTCTCCGCTCTCTTGCCAAACTCCAACCCCCAGAAGTCCAGAGCTGTTGGCTTTTCTGTTTGTCATTACTGTTGCTGAGGCCTCCCTTTCTATCTAAGGGAAAGCTTAAAGGTTTTATTCAGTGTTGGTGGTTCCCAAATCTATGATTGCTCCTTATATGTTTGAAGAGGCTGTTTGATTCTGCACAGCTCCCTGTGCTTTGTAGATTATGGCTGGGCACTGGGAGCCAGGCTCATCCTTGCTTGCAGCTGCTGTGCCTGCTCAGGGACTTTATGTGGGAGAAAGAGGAGGCGCAGCCAAGGTGCAAGGGGCCCTCATCATCTCTTATCTTGTTTTGTCTGAGCCATCTCTCTCAACTTGGGGGGGCAATGGCACTGTCCGTCTTAGCCGGACTTGAGTCCAGCTTGCCCATTGGAGGTGTGCAGGAGGCCCAGTGCCAGCCCACCCACCCCCCAGGCTGCGGATATTCCTCTGCTCCAAGCCAACCCTGAGCCAAGAAAATGTGCTTGTCCCAGATTCCCTTTGTGACTGCTTGTTGTTTCAGGTACTAAACTTAATAACTACTTTATGGAAATGTGGAAACACCGTAGGCACACGCACACATCATTTTGCACTAGTTTTGCTAGAAAGCTCTTGTTTGGCCCTGATGAACAGGGTGCACAGGAGCTCCTGAGGTTTGTGTGGGATAGCAGGTAGCTGGTCTGAGTCCCTGGCTCAATTTTCCAGAGGCTGAGCTGCCTTGTCTCAAGCAACCTGTGCCCCTATGTGTGGTAATGCCCAGGCATCTGTTCGCCCAAAGACTGCCCACTGAGGCTGCAGAGCACGGATGGGTTTGGCCTGGGTTTGAGGGCTCTCTAAAGCACTTGGAACCAGCCAGAAATTCTCATCCCATTCTTCTTAGAGGGAAGTAACCTGTCAAAGCTCTTCCGTGTTTGTAATCAAATAAAAAGACTGACCCTCAGTGGCTGTGTGTGCTGTGTGTCTATTGGGGCAGAGTGGAGGGAGCCCTGCTCATCCGCCAGAGAGGAGGAAGGGGGAGGGAATTCCTTGGTTTTATGCAAGAGTGGACAGAAGTTAACCTGGAGCTCATTTTGACCCTCTTATTTTCAGAAGGCTGTGGGCAGCCTGCTTACATGCCCTCACATGCCAAGCGAAGACATTCACGGGGCAGAGAAGCAGGACTGCCGCAGCTTGAAAGTGCTCTCCCAAAATCATGCAAACTGCGGAAACGAAGATCAATTTTATTATGTCGGGGGCATCGCCAGAGTCTATAAGTCACATGAAAATTAAACCATTACGATTCCCCATACGTACAAATTGGAGGCCCCTCCTACAACTGAACGGGAACGAAGGGCATTCTGCATCCAGGTGAAAGAACTGCCTGTGCCCCCATCCTCTGTGTAGCAAGGAAGACAAAAGCTCAAAACCGTTCAGGCTCCCCCTCCCCTCAAGCCAATAGCTCAGGTTTTCTGCCCCTAATTGTTTGGACACACAAGCATTTGTACACTGGTTTGGGTTTAATGTTTCCTCAATTAAATCCGGCATTAAAAGTCCACTTATGTCAATGGAGAAAACGAGCGCTTTCTTCAAGGGCCAACGGGCAGCCGGTGCCCAGCCTCACATCACGTACCAGGCTGCAATGCCAGCAGTGACCGCAACACAGGCTGCCAAGACCAGCTGGATGGTGGGCTGCTTCAGGGCAGCCAGGGCGAGATGGCAGGGGCAGGTAGCGTCCTTGGAGCCAGCTGAGGGGAAAAAAAGGACCATTAGAGGCTGGAGGAAGCCACAGAGGGAAGGGGGAAGACTGGGACCTACCGAGTTTCGAGGCATAGTAAGGGCACTTGCGCATGTCTCCCTTCCCATCATGCACTGGGAGGCCGCCATCTTGGGCTTCTTCTGGTAATAAAGCCCCGATCTTGTCCAGCTCCTCAAAGACCTAAAGACAAAATCCAAGGTTTGCCCTGAGCGCTCAGTCACCTGGAGTGCTCAGCTTATTTAGGCCCAGCCCTTGTGGACTGTTCTGGGCTCCAGCCAGACTGCAAACCAGGGCCGCCTCATAGCAGTACCTGCCTCAGAGAGCAATGGGCCCAGGACCAGGCTCTGGAGCAGAAAGACTCGCTTTGCTGCCAAAACATTCCAGCCCTGTCCCTCAGGATGTCAAAGCAGGAGGCAGGCAGCAATGGAAGGCCTGGCTCAAGCCTGACATGCCACCGAAGATGCTCCTCCCTTGGGCCACAGAAAAACCTGAACTTGGCACCAGTGGCTGGTTAGGGCCTCGTGGGAGCTGAGGAAGACGTGACGGGCTCTGCTCAAGAAGGCAACAGCAGGCAGCCTCAAGGCTCATCTGGCCTTGGGAGAAGAGGCACTCTAGCCCCCATCCAGCTCCAGAAGAATGGGTTCAGATTGGGGTGGCTTTAGCAGGCACCCTGAAATCCAGCAGCCGCACACCTGCATGTTGAATTCAAAGGCCCCGTTGGCCTCCTTGACGATCTTCTCCTTGGTCTCCTGGGACACATCCAGGGCATTCAGCCGGGCTCTGTAGAACTGCTTGAACTGCTGGGGGTTAGAAATGTTTTCAAACATGTAGAAGTTGATCCCTTCTCCACTGCTTGGCAACTTCAGTGCACGCTGAGCCACCCTCTTCAGCACCTGACCCCCAGAAAGGTCCCCCATGTAGCGGGTGTAAGCATGAGCCACCAGGAGCTCCGGCTCCTGCTTCCCAACATGGTGTATGCGATCCACGTAGCGCTGAGTGGCTTCTGAGCACTGGATCTTCTCCTCCCAGCCTTCCCCATACAAATATTCCAGGTCCCTCGCCAAGGCTTCCTTCCGGTGCAGCTCCAAGGGGAAATACAGAGGGGCAAAGCAAGGCTGGTCCTTGTTGTGCTCCATCTCCTCCTCCAGCGCAGAGTATGTGAAGTAAAGGGCTGCTGTGCCCAGCTGCAAGAGAACAAAGGAGCCATGAGAGGCCAGTGGCTACCAGTCCACCCTGTTGTCCAAGCCGTTGGGCTGCTGTGTCCGAGGCCGCCTTGCTCCCTGAGGCCAATGTGCCAAAACCAGCAACGACCCTTCGCTTTAGTTAAAGAAAGATCCCCCAGTTGGACCCATCCAGGACTGAAGGAGGTTTTATTTTCAATGCTTTGTAAGCCAGAAAAAGGAGATAAATACATTAAGGGGCCCCAGAAAGATCTGGTCCAGAGAAGCCAACCCTCTTCTGCCACAGATAGGGCTGTTCTATTCCAGAGCATGGGTGAAATTTGTCTCCTGACCCCAACTAGAGACCCAGGACTTGGATAAAGCAGGGTGTACCTTGAAGAGCTCCCTCTTGATGTGTCCCTTCAGGAAATCTTTGACAAACTGGGTGTTCTCAGCCCGGTCGTGGGCCTCCTTGGTCCCTTCCTTCAGCAGCTCAGACAGGTCTGTGGGACTGTGAATAGACAGGGGTCCTGGGGAGAGTGGCAGGGCACTGCAAGCTCAAACCACCTGCAGGCCACAGGGCAGGCCCTCAACTCCGTGGGGCATCGAGGAGAGCATGCTTTGTGCCCCAAATAATCATGTCTCCCACCTTTTGCACCTCAGGCCTTGCTAGGCAAGCTCACTCCGCAGAGAAGGGAATGGGCAAAGTCAGAGACCGCAGACTGGCGTTGGCGGTCCCAGAGGGGCCAATCTCTGTGCTCCAGGACCGGCCTCCCCTCCAGGAGCCAGAGCCCCCCCCCCCCCGCAACCCCCCCCCCCCCCCGAAAAATGCATCCTCCCTTGCATGAAGCATTTGCAGGCGCTTCAGGCTTTCTCGGCCTCCACCAGCCCCTCTGAGAAGCAGCAGACGCTACCTGGTGGTCTTCTCCTCCTCCTCCTCTTCCTCCTCCTCCTCCTCCTCTTCCTCCTCCTCCTCGTAAGAATGGCTCTCCCGCTCGTCCATCAGCTCAGTAGCCTCGGTCGACATGGCGCCTAACCTGCTGGGCTGCAGTCCCGGTTCAGCTCCAGCTCCTGCAGGGAAAGAGCCCGCCACCGTTTAGCCTCCCGGAGGTCCCGCTAAGGCGGAGCTCTGCAATGTCCGAGCGAGGCCGTCGGGGCGACCGGGAGCAGCCCGGTCCGCGCCTCCATCGCAAGCGCCGCGGCCGAGCAACGGGCCCGGGATGAGGGGAGGCCGCCTCGGGCCCGCAGCTGCAGCGCAGGCCGGCCCGGGCCCTCGGGGCGCCCGCCGGGGAAGGGGCTGCTCCCCTTGGCCGAGGGGCCGCGCGGGGGTCTAGGCCGGCCCTCCCGGCAGCCCCGCCGGGCCCGGAGGCGAGCGGAGGCCGCTTGGAGGGGAGAGGGCCGCAGAGGGCGCGGGGCCGACGTCCCTGCAGCGCCCGGCGGTTACCTGCCAGCCGCCGCCGCCGCCGCGGCTCTTCCGGTCACTCCGCGGACACGGCTGGCCGACTGGCTCCGCCCCCCTCTGTCACGCGGACAAAGCGCGCTGAATATGCATGAGCCGCGTCCGGGGAGGCATCGCCGCGCCCCCTGAAGGGCGGGGCTCGTCCTCAGCCGGCCAAGGCGCCAGTCGGGCGGGCCCTTCCCGGCTCTGCGCAACCCTCTGCCGAAGGCGCCGCCGCCGCCGCCGCCGCCGCTTTGCCCAGCCCGCAAAGAGCGGCGGCTCGGAGGGCGGCGGCAGGTAGCGGTATCGTCCCCAACTCCGCCCCAACCAGAAAGCGGCTCCCCTCCAACCGAGGCAGAAGCGGGCAGGCCGGTCGCTCTGGAGATCTTCCTCGCCCACGGTTAACACGGAATCCTCCCGAGGAGAGCCCCGCTGGGGGTGCTGGGCCAGCCGGCCTTCCTGGGCTCTCCCGAGGCGGGCTGGAGCTCCTCGGCTGCCCCGGCGCTGGCTTTTCTGCTTCTTAGCAAGCCTCTTCTTGGGCCGGGGACGCAGCTCCACGCGAGCCGAATCGGAGCGGTTTCCTACCTGCGTTAAGGCGCCCTTCTCTCCTAGGGACCCTCCCGCTCAGGCCCCGCCTGGAACTCTCCCTTCTGGAGCAAAGCACCGCGACCCCGTTGCTGTGGGGTCTCGGGAGCTCCCTTCCAGGGGACCCTGTTCACACCTCACGATAGGACTCCGGTCTCGGCACAAGGTACACTTTATTTTTGCTCCTCAGCGTGTCCCCCCACCCGCCCCCAAGTCTGCTCTGTCCAGAGAGAACCAATTCCAGGAAGGCCAAGAACCTTTCACAACTGCCCCCCCCACCCCCGTCAACGCTGCAATCTGGCATCTAGAGGAGAGGCCTCCTTCCTTCAGTGAGGCCATCGAGCCATGGACCTTCAACGCCTGTCCATCTTCAGTTCCAAGGCCACCGGCATCACACCTTCCAGATTGCCACCGCCCCATCCTCTAGTTTCCAGTGGAACGTTTACCTAAAGCCAAAAGAAAGAGGGACGTCTGTGACCTTCACAAAGACGGTGGGCAGATCTAGCAAACCCCTCTCTCAATATCCAAGCCAGGACTACAGTGGCCCCATCCCCAAAAGTCACTTTTAAGGCTGTGGAGTTGCCTCAATGTTTTGGGGAGGCTCACAGATGAAGAATTGAGGAATGTTTAACTAAATACAAGCTCTTCTGCAATGATACCAGGAGTCTTTAGTATAATAGCAAGGGATGGACCCCGCAGCTACTAATATCCATTCCTCTGGCCCTTATTTTTCTGTTCAGCTGTTGCTCTAGGAGTGCTGGGAGCTCCTGGGAGTAAGATGAAGCAACTTGACGTCCAAGAAAAGACCCAACTGGGTCTCTGTCCAATCACCAACAAGGCATGTGGCAGCTCCCAGAGGTTTTCCTACAGCTTCATCCTCCCTCCCCCCCCTCCCCGGTTTCTGCAAACAGTGAACACAGAGACCTGTGCATGGAAAGATCACAAGAGGCTTCCTACCTCTGGTGCAGTTAATCAGAAGCTAAACATTTTCTTAAGTTTAGCTAGGAATCCCTCTGTGCCGTCCCCTGCCTCAGGCCTCTCCTCGCCTGCCCCTGTGCTAGTCGTGCCCCTGCCACCTAGACACAAAGAGCAGGCAGCTTGGTCAATACACGTTGTGAGAAGGGGCCCTGTCCGCCTCAGGCCATTTCCCAGTCTTGGGGGGGCGGGGGGGGGAGTTGAAGCGGAGAAGATGCCTCCCTTCCTCAGGCCATCTTGGTCCAGACCCAAGGAATGTTCAAATGACAGCTCCTGTTGTGCTATACGCGGTTGGTGACACTCCCTGCACACAGCAACCATTTTGGCTGCCTCCTCATTGCAGCTTTATTTATATCGCTTACCCTTTAGCCTCTCTTATTCTTTTACCGACTGCAAAACTATAATCTCAACACAAGGTATGCATTCTAACACACGTCAGTGTCTTGAGAAACATCTGTATATTACAGCAAAGCAGACACATGCATATGCACACACTGTCTCCCTGATGGACTTGCTAACCTGCTCTGAATGTCTCCTTGAGCAAACAACTTGGGCCCTGAATCCGTGGAAAGCCAAGAGTGCTCATGAAATGGAAATCAGCCAGCTGCATCTTGTGGGTCACTATGAGGGTGGGGCAGGGGCCAAAAGCTGCTTTCAATTGGGGGATTTGTTCCCTCTATTAAACCATCAGCCAGCCATGCTGCCAACTCGTGCACTGCACTAAGTCAACCTCAGAATCAGTAGAATTGTGGAAGCCCAGAAAATTGAACAAAGCACAGATGAACTAATGGTGGGTTAGGCAAACACAAGTAGTAGTAACCTTTTCCTGCCTAAGGAAAAATGGTGGCACCATCTGAGTAGAAGTTTGTAGTTCCACCATGGTCGACATCCCTCAAGGCCATAGTTGATACCACCAGAGCCAGCAGTTCAACTACAACCAAAGACAACCTGCCAAAGCGCAGCGAAGATCTGACAGCTCCACAGCCTCACCAGTGTTTGTGCTGGCGATGCCATTCACAGTCCCTTCTACATCAGTTTCATCTTCTGCATAGCTCAGCATCAAGGCTCGCTGGCGATCAGTCAGCCTCCTGCAGGAGAGAGAAAGCAGGTGCAGTAAGACAGGTCAACGGAGGGCCCTGGAGGAAAGCCAGCCTCTCTGGGCACAGAGGTCTTGCAAAAGCAACAGACTGACACTTCCTCCTGCCTCAAAGGTCCCCTTTCACGCCATCAATTACCTCTTCTACCCTGTTCCCCAAAATGCCCAGTCTTCTCACTTACTTGGGAACTTTGACCTTGATATGAATGTAGTGGTCTCCATAACCGTAGCTGTTCACCCTGGGAATTCCCTTCCCAGTCATCCGAATCCTCTGGTCAGCCTGGATGCCAGGGGGGATCTAGGAAACACAGCAAAAAGGTTAAAGCTTTTCAGTTTTTCACTCAATGCTCCTGAACTCTTACTGTGTCTCATACATGTGAGAATCCACTGCCATTACCAAAGCACTCTCGGGAATGAAAGTTCTAAGATTTAACGCCCTGGGCCGTTCATAGAACATCACAGAAAATGTCCCTTTTCTTCTGAAGCAACCTGAGGGCAACTGAAAATACCAGCAGAGCAGCAAATGACCACAACCGCTGCCAAACAGAAGCGCCAAAACAAGAAGACAGACAGAGCCTTTCCACAGGACAGACACACGGCTTTCTGTGCAAAAGGGTAACATCCCCTTCCCCTTATTTTCATGGGTCTCTAATCACAGGACAGATGAGCCAGTTCGCTTGTTCTGCATTTGTGGCAGGGGACGTACCAGAAGGTTGATCGTCTCATACAGGCCGGGCGACCTCGCTGTCCCTCCAAGAACAGCTTGTGCTATGGAGATGAAGAGGTCGGAGTGGATATCAGCACCGTCTCTCCGGAACACGGGGCTTTTCTGAACCTGGAACCAGGGACAGTTCAAGGATTCAGCAAGTGCAGGCGCCCAGCCAGTTTTAAGCATGGCATGTCATGGCAAAACTGCAGGTCGGTACGCACCCTGAAGGTAATGAAAATTTCTTTCCTTCCAACAGGCATCCGAACGGTCTGCCCATCCTCCACACCTAAAGCCAAACAAAAGCACTCAGGATTACCTTTCATCCAGCGCCTCACTTTTTCTTCCCCTCTTGTGGCAACTCCGATTTGGAGGCTCGTGTTCTTACTGTTTAGAGCTGCAAGGACCAATTTTCCTCCCTGTTGTTTCACTTCAGAAGAGCAGCCGCTATTCTGCCCCAGGAGCACTCGGTACATACATACCTGCTGGGACTGGGACCATCATTGTCTTCTTCTGCTTGGTTTGGCCAGAGCCCCGACAAATCACACACGGGTTAGTTACAATTGAGCCCCGTCCACCACACCGCCGACATGTCGAACGCATGACGAACGGGCCTGTGTTGATCGTCTCCTGTCCAAAAGAAAATACAAGGAAGGTGAGATGCAAGGAAATTTCACTTCTGTGTTGTAATGGCATCTCTGATGCCCGCTCAGATGAGGAGTTGTTCTGCCAAAGTCTCCAAGCAGGGAGTGAAAGGGCTGTGGGCGGGGCGGGGGAGACAACACCATCAGAGGAACAACCAGATGAGGGCCTGGCTGAAGTAGAAGGGAGCGCTGCATTTGGAAGGTTCAGGCGCGGGGGTGGAGAAGGAAAGCAACCGCCTGCTCTGCCAAATCCCAGAGCACGCAGGGATGAACGGAGGAGGTTGGGGAGTCTACTTGCAAGGAGCAGCCTCACCTCTGCCAATGGCTACACTGGCTGGCAGCTACTTAGCTCATGATGTGAGCAGAGCGTTCCCTGCCATGGGTGTGTTTTGTCTTTGGGACTCCTGCTTCCAGACCTTGCCTTGACTCTGTTACTGGGCTTTGGATCTTGGATTTCAGACTTGGGCTTTGATTTTGAGTATTGTGCTCAGACTACAGACTTGTACCTGGACATCACACCTGGTGTGTGGACTTACAGATTTGGTCTTTGCCCTCGGACCTGAGGTTGCTTGGTGCTTGGACCCACTGGATTTTCTGTTTGTTTCCATGTGAGGTGAGCCCTGGGGAATATTAGGGACTTGTAAAGCCTTAATGAAGACCTCAGAACCTTTTGTGGTGTGATTGGAGCAGGAGATGTGTTGATGTAAATTGGACCCCAGTCAGCACATCATTATCAGGCTCCATAACCATCTGAAGCAAGGAACTGGCTTTCTTCTTCTAAAGCGCTGAGGTGCCCAGTCGTTCCCTGCACCAAAGCTTGCTCACACTGCCCTGCCCTTACTGTGCCAGTCCCGTTGCAGTAGGAGCAGTGCACTACTCTGGTGCCCGGTTCATGCCCTCTGCCATCACAGCGCTGGCAGGTGTCATTGATCTGCACCACGATCTCCTTGTTGACGCCCTTTGCCGCCTGGCTGAATGTCAGATCCATGATGTACTACAGGAGAGAGAGAAAATTCAGCATTTGGAGCTCACAGTTCCAAGCCAACATTTTGCATACCATGTAGAACAAAAGGAAGCATACAAATCTGTCTAGATTGAGAAAAAGCACTACGGTGCCTAATTAATATAAAATTAATTATGTGTATGAACAGCAGTAAGAGGGCTATTTTTGTGCAGTGATTAAGGCACCGAGCTAGACACTGGGTGATCGTAAGTTGCAGCCCTGCCTTAGGCACGGGAACAGGCGGTGACTTTCAACCAGCCCCTCTCTCTCAGCCCTCGGAAGAAGGCAAAGAAAATCTTGCCAAGAAAATTGCAGGGACTAGTCCAGGCAATCACTAGAAGTCAACACTTTTGCTTTGTACCAAAGCAAACCAACCAACCAACCAACCAACCAAAAAAGACCCACATAATACATATCAAATTTGCTAATCATAATGGATTAAAAATCAAATTTGTAACCTATTTCTTCACACTATTTTATTTTGGAAACCCATCTTTGTTAATAGATTTCTGTATTGTTTCCCTCTTAAAATCTAAATATCAAAAAGGATAACTACTGAATTTGAATAAAAACAATGTTCAGTCTAGCCATGAATGTGGGCAAAATCATTAAATGCACCTGATTCCCCCTTTAAAGACAGCAAAACTTCAATTTGAGTGATCACAGAGGAGTGAATTTATCTAATTGTTGTGGTCTACGGGAGACTGCGGAGACTGCAGCAGAATCGGACAGTGGGGAAGAACATGGACCAGTCTGGGAGTCTGGAAAGGACTTGGATGAGGGTCCTGCGTCCAATACAGAGGTGGGGCCAGGGCCATCTGGTGGCTTGGAGTGCAATTCATCTTTACCTCCTGGGGCTGGTCAAAGACGGTGCTAAAGTCGCCAAAAGGGGACTGTGAGAACTCCCCAAAGATCTTCCTGAACAGCTCCTCAGGGTCAATAGTTGGGCCAGTGTGCCTGTATTGCTGCCCAGAACCTGCTGAGCCAGAGCCAAAACCAAAGTCTGCTGTACCATAAGTGTCATACTGCTTCCGCTTTACTTCATCTCCCAGGACCTGCCAAGGATATAAGAGCTCAGTCATCCAGGGGGCACTGCTGTGGGAGCCCCAGTTCCCAAGCCGTGGAATGTAAAAGGGAGAATAAAGCACGCTACCTCATAGGCCTCAGCCAGTTGAGAAAACTTCTCTTTGGCTTTAGGGTCATCCTTATTGGTGTCAGGATGATACTTCTTCGCAAGCTAAGTAAAGAAACAAAAACGGCAAAAGTAAAAAGTAGTGGGCAAGAGATTACCATTCCTGTCTTTGTGTGTTGGGAATTCATGCAATGAATTTTAAATCAGCGATATTGAACTAGTAAAATAGCTTTTATCTTCTGGGGTATTTTTGCCTACATAGTATTTTAGATAGGAAAAAAACCCTATTTCATTTGTACCAAGATCACAATCACATACACTGAGCACCATGTATTTGTAGTGCAGTTTAGAATCCTCAGAAATAATGACTTTGAAAAAACTGAATTAAACAAAAGCAACAGGGTAAATCTCAGTGACCTTCATCAGGAATAGTAGCCAAAGAAGACAACAGTAGTCTTGCTGGATCAGATACAGCTCTTCATATTCCAGCAATTAGCCCATAAGTACTGGTAGCTAGTGAAGTGTAAGGTCAGCCCCTCCTTTCCTTGGGTTCTCCAGCAAACACTTAGAAATCGGCCTGGGAATGTTAGAAGAATCCAATATCGCAGAATGAATTCCCCAAGCAGGATGGGGAGGCTGCTGTTTACTTTACCGCTGCTTTACTTTTGTGTACATGAGAGTAAACAGAAATATAAAGTAAACCAGCAGCCTTTAAGCAATTACGACCCCAAATGATCGAGACAGGGTGGAGAAGGCACCCCACACAATGCCAGCGCTAAAGCTGGGGAGGAAAAAGACTCGCATGCAAGCGGGATAGGCCAGGTCTCCACCGGCCAGTCCTCCAATCTACTTGCCTCCTTATGGTCCGACACCCCCACCCCCACCCTGCATCCCCTCCAAGAAGTGGCCGTGCCTGGTAATAGGCCTTCTTGATCTCCTTCTGGCTGGCGGAGTGGGGCACTCCCAGGATCTGGTAATAATCCTCTTTGCTGTTGCTGGAGGAGCTGGTGTGAATCGAGGCCGCCCAGACGGGAGGAAGCGGTCGGAGACCTGCGCAAAGCGAAGCAGAAGGTCAAGCCGGCTGCCGGCGTCGAGGGAAGGGCGGAGGCGCAGAGGACCCCCCCGCCGCAGGTCGGACCCACCCGCCGGCTCCATTTCTGCGGGCAGGAGGCCCGCGCGCGGCCAGGGCCGAGGATAATGGGCCGACCCCTCCGGAGGCCTCTCGAGACCGGCGACGGGAGGGGGCAGCGCTCCGCTCGTCCTTAGAGACGCCTTTGTCGTTCTTCTTACCGGAGCGGTTTCCCATCCGCGGCGCCAGAGTCGCGCGAGAGGCGACGGGGGCCACGCTCCGCCAGCGGGCCAGAGCCAACATCACCGCCAGGCGCCGCGGCTCCCCGCCGCCAGCCCGACAACTCCCGGCATTGGTTGCCACCTCCGCCAGGCAGCGTGAGATGCACCCGGCCGCCATCTTGCGTTGCTCAGTCGCAGTGCGCCTGCGCTCCTCAGCCCGGGAAGCCGGGAGTCCGAGTGCGCAAGCGCGCCGTCCCGTGGTAAGGGGAGGGCGCAGCCGACCTTTCTCAGAGGTCAACCCCGCCGACGCGAAGTTCGGGCTGCTCCTGGGCCCTAGTGCCCCCTCTGTTCACTTCTCGGTCAAGGCGCGGAGATGGGTTTCGCGTGGACGTGGGTGGGCTCTGGACTCCGGCTCTGCGCCGCTGCTTGCGCATCCCCGAGCGGGACTCCCGCGAAGCGGAGCTGGGCACTACCTGGTGGGCCCGGGGTGGCGGGAGCCTAGGGCGAGACCACCCGTCGGTCGGCGTCCTTCAGAGGTGGGGTGTGGGGAAAGCCCCCGGAGAAGGGCTGGGTGGACGGAGGAGACCAGGCGCGGCCCCTCGGTTGGGGAGAGTGGGAGCGCCGCCGGTCCAAGCGGAGGGCATACCCGAGACGGGCCGCGGGAGCCTCCCTGCCGGAGACGGGCGAATCCCGCTTTTCGAGCTCGGCGCTAATAGGGGAAGGAGTTCTAGTGGGGAAGGGGCCTCGTTGGAAGAGCTGAAGGGCCGGCAGGGGACGGAGCGCCCGTGTGGGAGGCAGGAGGCGACCGCGGCCCGGGGAAACCCACGTCCGGTGGCCCCTGCTGGGCTCCAAGGCGCCCAAGTTCACACAGACCCCCGGAGCCCTCCGGCCACTGGTCTCTCCGGGGCCTCTGAAGTAGCCGGCTGAGAGCCAATTAGAGAGTCCCTGGGCCCGCCCGCCGCCAGCTGAAGGCTGCTCTGGAGGGAGACCCCACCAGAAGGGGCAGCGGCTCTGGGGAAGCCGTCGGAGGGAGCGGGACGCGGCGCGGCAGGCAGAGGCGAAGAGGAAGAAAGGCGGCGATGCGGGGTTCCTCAGAAGCCTGGCGGGCGGTGCGCTTGGCCGGTGCGGAGCTGCCCTGCGGGCGTGGCGCCTGAAGACAGGAGGTGCCCCCGGGCGCTCGCCGGGATGCTCCCCACCCGGAGCCCGCCCAGCTGCTAGCCAATGAAGCGCTACTTCGGCCTGGCTTCTAGGTCGCGGGCGCCGCCTGAAGGGCTTCGCGGAGCGCGCCGTCTCAGCCTGGCGCCGCCCGCGTGGGCGGGGCTATGGGTGGGGCCTCCGTGGAATCGGACCCCAGGCTGGACGGCGGCGGCGGCGGCAGCATGAGCCGGTTCAGGGTGTCCAAGTTCCGGCACGCCGAGGCCAAAGTGGCCCGCAAAGAGGTGGGTGGGCGGCGTCGTGAGTCGTACTTGCCGCCAAAACGTCTCCTTGGTGAACCGCCGCACCCACCTGCCGGGGCGCGGACGGCGGCTCGATGGACGCGCCGGTTCTTTGCTCGCTCCCCCGCCCGACCGGGTGGGTTCGGCGGTTCCTCGATGGGCGCGGGAGGAAGCGACCGGCTCAGCCCTCGGCCTGTGTCAGCGATCCCACCGAAGAGGGACGCCGGCGCTTCCGGAGGTGCCGCCCGATTGCAGGGCTGAGCAACGCGTGGGCGCCTTCCGAGGCACAGCCGAGCCCTTTCTAGGAGAGCAGCGGCCGGGGCCGTTCCCGCTCCCGGCTGCTTCTTGGCCTCGTTGCCTGGACTGCATACGGGAAAGCCTCGCCCTGCAAATTTAGTCCGGTCGGGGGGGCGAGCAAGGCGGTTTCCCCTCCAGCCCCTCGCTGCTCAGGGGCCGGCTGGCCTGGGGCGGCATCCCCGGCGCGAATTGGGCTGGGCTGGGCTGAGCTAGGGCCGCCCGGCAGGTGTCTTTCCGCCTTCGCAGCAGCCAGAAACGGGAGGCTGAGCAACAGCGGGGCCTGCGCCGAGCATCGCCTGCTTGCGAAGCCCGATCCCCCGACCGTAGCCCGGGCAGCCCCTGGCTAGGGAAGGCTGGCTGACGCTCTTGGCGGCGGCGGCGGCGGCAGCTTCCGAAGAGCCTCTTTCAGCAGAGCCGCTTCGCTGCTGAAGCTTCCGGCTGGAGAGGAAATGGGAGAAGCGCTCTTTCTGCAACAATTCCGCTGTATTATTTGTTCTCGGGGCGCAGCAGGCCCGGCTTCCGTTTCCCAGCAGGAGGGCCCGCCTGGGGCAGCGAGCACCTGAGCTTCCCCGCCGTTCTGCCAGGGCCGGCCGGCGGGCAAGCACGGGACCTCCTGGGATTTGCTGGCCTGGCCGTTTTCCCCTGCCATGCCAGCTGGGAAGCCAGTCTGGGTCTCCCTGGGAAGCTGCTTCAGCCGAGTGCAGGGAAACGCCGAGGGAGGCGGGGGTGGGGGGAGAGCTGAATTGGGCAGCCTTGTGCAGTGAAATGAAGTCTTGGTTTGGGGTGGGGGATTCGAAAAAAGAATGGGGGAGCACACCCCAGGTTGGCATAAGAGGCCCAGCCAGCCAGAGAGAGGACTCTGCGGTTGGACCCTGGAATCCAGGGAAGCGACTGCAGTTTGCCAAGGAGGCTTTTCTGGTTCCTCCTTTCTGGATGGTTTGGCCAAAGCGTCCGGAAGCACCTTCTCCCTGTCCTTGGCCGTGCCCCAGTCCCCTCTGCTGCTTTAGTCCCCTGCTCAGGGCCCGATGTCCCCCACTGCCTCCTGGTCCTTGACCCACTTGTGGAACAACGTGGGAGGCACTTCCGCTCCCCCGCCCCAGCTCGCTCTCCTCTCTGCGCAACAGGCCTGGATTGGAGATCTACAAAGCAGCTGCCCTTCAGGGAAGGCCCACATCAAGGCCAACACCCGCTGGATCGCATTCAGCACAGACTTGGCAGGTAAGACCCAGCCCAGCTCCTGCCCTTGCACTTTGACCTGGCAAGGAGTTTGCAGAAACCTTCTGGGTGTGTCCCTGCTGAGGGTAGTGACTGGCCCCAGTCCAGCAGGCGTTTTCTTTCCCTTCTGCCCTTCCCCGTAGCGGGGGCCTTGCTTGTCTTCTGCTCCCCTCCCCCCAGCATCTCCTGTTGATTGGCACTCAGAGGGGAAGAATCAGAACAGGGGCCCGTCAGGACTGGCTTCACTTGGGTGGGGCCAGGAACTTGGTGCCTCCCTGCTGTATAGTGACCACCTTGAGCCAGGTCTGGCCAGAAGCCAAGATTTCTGAAACTGGCCCCTACTGATAGCTGTCCAGTCTCAGGGAAGCTCTTCAGGGGAAGGCAAACCAGGGACACATCTCCTTCTGGCTGGCAGGTGGGCTGCTTGGGGCTGGCCTCACGATTTTCCCCCTGTTTTTGCCAGGTGTGTTGGGTGCTGTGCCCCTGGAGAGCCCAAAGGGGATCAAGAGGGTTATTTCTCATCTGCACTGCCATTCAGGTGAGCTGGAGAAGCTGCAGGGGTGGCCTTTGGGGAAAATGGGCTGGTCTCCCATGCAGAGAAGGGGAAAGCGTGCTGCTTGGGTGAGAAAAAGACTATATAGAGGAAGGGAGAAGCAGGCGGTCTGCTTTCGGTTCTGCTGGCCGGATGCTTAAAACAAGCTGCATTTGCTCTCTTGTGCAACTGCCGAAAGGAAGGGTGTCACATGACTCTTCTCACACACACACACACACACACACACACACACACACACACACAGAGAGAGAGAGAGAGAGAGAGAGAGAGAGAGAGAGAGAGAGAGAGAGAGAGAGCCTTGTCCTACTTTGAGACAGACCCTAAGTCAGCAGCAATCCAGCCCCTGCCACACTGGGTCTCATTTGCTGGGCTTGCTTGTAGATGAGGGTGGGAGTTTCACATTTAACCTGGTGTGTAGGCATCATAGAAGCAGAAGCCAGCCCGCCCGGGACTTTCTCAGACATCCACAAGGGGCAGGGCGCCCCCCCCCACTTCTGCTCTACGCTCAGCCAGAGGGCATGGCGGGCGCTTTGTACCCCCGGCTCCAAGGGCCCAGGACTGCCCCATGGAAGCCCTAATCTGGGCAGAGGCTGTTATCCAACAGCTGCACTGCCTGCCTACCTGTCTCGGAGGATGAAGCCCCTGGTCTGGGGAGCCTCGCTAGGCCAGCTCACAGTGGGAAGCTGCTGCTCTCCTTCCTGGCGGAGTCACTTTGCCCTGGTGGCTCTACGATCCAAAATCGGCAGCTGGAGGGAGGGAAGCAGGAGAAGCCCCTGGGTGGGATTGCAACTGTCGGGGATTCCAGAAATGGAAAATGGCAGAGTGAACCAAATAATAGCAGGATCAGACCTTCCTCTGCCCAAGCCCCCCAGACAAAGGTAATTTCATCCTGCTGGGTGGAATAGAGTGGGTGATGTGGTGTCAGACTGAATGGACACGGGGCGGGGGGCACACTGGCTGGGAGAAGCTGTGCCCCTTTGCTTGGGGTGAATAAAGAGTCCGCGGGAGATTCCCCTCCTCAAGCCCAACTGGCTCTGCGCTGCAGTGGAATGGCACCACATCCCCCTCAGCCCAGGCTCAAGCCCAGAAGGCCCAGCCAGGAACCAAGGGCAGGCTCTGCGGTGACCCTTTGGCTGCAGAAGTGAGAAGAGAATCGCCGTGTCTGCCACCCTCCAGTTCCGATCCTCCCCATCCCATCTGACGCTGGGGGGCAATTCCTCAGGGGGAGAAGCAGCCCTGGGCCTGCCGTGGGCGCCCACAGCCTTGGCTGCCTGCTTCTCCTGTGCTGCCCTTCCCTCTCCTCTCCTCTCCTCTCCTCCCAGATGTGGTGACCGACTTTGACTTCTCTCCCTTTGACCAGCAGCTGTTGGCCACCGGATCGGCAGATGAGGTCGTAAGTGCAGCCTAGCTTCTCCCCAAGGTCGCTCTCCCTGCACGGGCAGCTCCTGGGAGATCTGGGGGCTGAGGGCAATTAGCTGAGAGCTTTCCCCTCGCCCTCAGCCCTGCCTGCCCCTGAGGGAGCCTGGCATCCTCTGAGCACTGCCAGCGGTCTCTTTTCTGCAGGTGAAGGTGTGGCGTCTCCTGGAGTCTGGCCAAGACCTCTCATCTTCCCCCCATGTGACGCTGGGGCCAGAGGGGAGCCGGGTGGAGGTGCTTCTCTTTCACCCCACAGCGGATGCTGTCCTGGCCAGTGCAGCTGGGAAGGCAGTGAAGATTTGGGATGTAGAGCAGCAGCAGATCCTTACTGGTACGATCCTAAGTGGGCGCCCTTTGATTGCCCTCAGGGTGGGCTGGAAGATGCCCATTGGCCCCGGGGAAAGGGGAGGCCAGCCCCTTCTGCCCTGGGCTTCCATCGTGCTGCCCAACGCTCTGCCAGCCTGGAGCTCTTCCCTTGGCCCATTCAAGCCTGGCCAGGCTCCCCCCGGGCTGTGGTCCTCCCAGAGAACCTGACCGATTTCTGTGGAAGCAGAGCTGAGGGACTCCCTTCCTGGAATGGGCTGGCCTCTTGGGCCGCTGCCCACATGGGTAGATTTTGGGGGAAGGGGGCCAGAAAGAGGGGCGGAAGGCAAGGCGCCAGTCAGGAAGAGTGGCCGTGGCAATCCCAGCAAGAGGAGAAGCCAGGCTGGCGCGAGAACCCCAGAGAGCCCGTTGCCAAGCAACCTCATGGGCCCTGCACAGGCGCTGCCATTCCGATTCCTGAAGGCGGAAAGAGATGAGGGCATTTTCCAGGCTGAGGACAGGAAGGGCTTTGTTGCCAAGGATCGTGCTCCTCCTAGGAACAGCAGTGTGTGTGTGGGGGGGGGGGGGGGGGGAGCCACCTTGGAATTGCTCAGCTGCTGCCTTGCAGAGAAGGGGGGCTGCTGCAGCTGGAGGGGTTGCAGCTCTCCACATGTGCACCTTTGAACCGGTTGTTCAGGGGTCCCTGCAGCAGCCCCTGCCCCAGGGACGGGAGCCAGCCCTGCAGGTGAAGCCCGACCTGAGGTGGAAGTGGGAAGGAGGGGCAGCAGGCGGAAAAGCTCTGGGTCAGAGGGAGACAACCCAGAAGCCACTGAGCAGTACTTCAGCCGCTCAGTTGTCTCCGTGCAAAGGGTGTGCGTGTGTGTGTGTGTGTGGGTCCCTTTGGTATGTTGTGCAAGTCGTGCCACTTGCCGGTCAATCAAGATTCATAATTGTGGTTTGGAGAGATCGAGGCTGGAGGAAGACCCCTCCCTGGAATGCAGCATCAGCCTCCCATCCAGTGGGGGAGGCTGCCTCTCCGCCGCTCTGCCCCGCTAGGCAGCCCTCACGGGCCTGAGCTGGGGAGCCCTCCTCATGATCTGGGTGTCCAAGCAGGGTGCTGGAGGGCACAGCACCAGGCCCGTTTCGTTCTTCTCTTCAGAG